GCCCCGTGATTGATGTTCATGTTCTCCATGGCAACTTTCCTTGTTTCATTGTATCGTATGCAGTTGATACATTTAAAGTTCTTCGTTTCGACGTTGCATTCCTGGCTTGAATGTTTTCCCGTGCATTCTGGACAGTCTTTTCTGCTGGAACATTGTGAATGGAGGTGCCCGTATCTGTAACAGTTTCCACACCTCTTATAATAGTGCAAGTCATGAACACGGTGTGAGGACCAGCCCATGTGAAGGGTGTCACCCGACTGTTTGAAGGTCCTGCGAAGATCTGAGGAAATGGTAATGACCCAAGAGCGTTTGCCGTTGGTCTCCTTCCCCATAAAGAAGACACTCCTGATGTGCTTCTGCACTTCTGTTATAGCATTGCTATGCTGGCTGATTATATATTCCTTAACTTCATTTTCATTAATTTCCCATGCAACACGGGGGATGATCAGACGCGGGTCATGTAGGCCCAAAGACCTAACCCGAACGTCCTCCCGTTTGTTTAACGATTCTGCTAGACGTTTCGCTCCCTCCTGAGAGCTACAGTTGATTAGAATCCCGTCTTTTATGGGGTGGGTAGATTTCACCCCCACTCTGATCTTTGTCAAGTTGCCGCACTTCTCCAATTCTTTGAGGGTGTCAATGGTGCTCTTGTCTGGTTTTTATTGTAGATCAGAATGACTTTGTCATTCTTCGGCGAGGTCTGATCTTTAGAACTTGAGCATAAGTTTTGCCCTTGTTTGGGGTGCTGGAGGAACCAGATGTACAGGCAGATAAGCTTAGCTGAACTGCCTTGTTTTGCTCTTTTAGTTGTGTGTATTGCCGATGTAGGGAAGGAACATGTCCTGGGCCTTGCCTAGGTTCATCTCGATGCACTCCTTTATTTTATTTTTTTTTTCAAGTTTCTGCTTACTTCGAGAACAGAGTGCCTGCTCAATGCATTCTCCGAACAGCTCCATATTGGGGACATCATGGGTTCCACACATGCTTATGCTATTAATTTTTTACCTGATATTCTTAAATGACTATTACTACTGATTACTGTGACATTACAAACACTACCAAATGCACCTTACTATAGGAAAAAATTTACTCACCAATCCAAACTCAGCTCGCATTTCCTCTGAGAGGATTTGTAGACAGTATTTTGGAAATACAAGTTTGATAGAGATTCTGGGCCAGAGACTCAATCTTGACAACTTACTGGATTTTCTAACAGTCACTAATATGTATTAGCTCAGGGCAAATACATTGACTATGTGTGGGATGATTGCGCAGCTTAGGAAGTTGCTCATCCGTGACGTCAGAGCGTGCTACCTGTCATCAAAGACGTTCCACGTGGACTGTTTTGATTTCGTGCAATAGGGGCACGGAAATCGTTCCAAGGGACATATTATAGCACTATATGTTGATAATACTAATTGCTTCTTGCTTTTTTGATGTTTAGCATCGGCCGTTTTTATTTTAAAACCGTAAATGTGCTTGCAACTAATCAGGAATTACGATTGAATCTGTTATTTTCATACTTTTATTTCTTTATTTTGTTTTATTTATGTTTATTTCTTTGTAATTAAAGATGATACAGCTTTAAAATAAACAGATCAGGTTTCACTTGTTACTAGATTATCTCAACTTTCACCGATTGTCGTCGGTTCCTTTGAAATCGGAGAGGACAAAGTTTCATCAAAATCAATCAATCAAATTTTGAGATTGAATATAACACTGTAAATGATGTCATAGAAGAGGCTTTCACTAATGCTCCATCTCAAATATTCTAAATATTAAAAACGCCTGATAAAATAATATAATTAATAACAACCTTTCAAGTATTAGTAACAAAACTTTTTTAAAGTTTATTTGAAAAGTTTTAAAAGAATATATATTTATTTTAATAGAATTAAAAGAAATATTTTAATCTTGTGAGTGCTTTCAACGTAAATATGTACGTCGTCTTCAGGCAATTCAAAAACGAATAGAGAATTCGAACAGAACATTTAAATGTAAATTTTCTGTTCAAGAAAACTTAACTTTAATAGTATAATTTACAAATATTACCTTGAACGAGATTGCGAATACGAGCGTGATCTATGTCATAGACTCCTGCTACGTTGACCATCCTCAATACAAGTGCTCTGGAATCTGGAGGATTTTGTTCTCCTCTCGAACAATGCAATTCATATGAACTTATCTCTCTATTACTCATCACAAGACACTGGGAGAAATTGGAGAGGAATAGATTGTGTTTCAAAGTCTAGTGTTAAGTGTTTATTGTTTTGCGGTAATGTGAGAAGAGCAGGAGAACTCACATAATAAACCGCCAAGTGTTTTACTACCATTCAAACAACTGCTCCCCACTTGTTATTCTTAGTAACTAGAGACGTCTGTCAAGGTCGGTTAAAGTTTACTACTTTCACAACAGGGTGTCAAGTGAGCTGCACCTACTCCCTGCTGTTAATGATGACAATGCACTAAGTGTGTTATTACTCTGTAAACAAAAACTCCCTTCCTTGTCAGATGTCAAGGTTATTGTTTAATTGTATTGAACAGAATGTTGTCCTTGATATTTAAGAATCAGTTTTCTCAGACCCCTCGGTGTGGGTTCCTGTTTGTGGTGAGGGGACCTCCCGGAGATGGTTTAGTAATTCTTCTATACCATCCCTGGGATCTGAACGCCCACCCACATGTTTGCCGTGCGTGGTACCCCGTATGCCGGAAAGGGGGATCCTGGTAGTTGAGGGGCAACATAACGTCCCCAACACACTGCTTTGGCCCCTGCTTCGGATAAACGGGAGGCTCAAATCAGGCTCCGTTTGAGTCAATCGGCTGGTTGTTGAGTCATTCTTGACATCGGCTTGGAGTCAACCGATCGATGCAGACACGTCAGACAAGATGTGCTCTTCTTGACTGCATTGTGAGGGTATAGCTCCTGGGAAACCCTGGTGCGACAGTCTATGGGAGTCTCCCATGTGACGGCATCCCCTTGTTGGGTGGGATCACTAGGAGCTGAAATATTATTATTTAATCATGGATCATAAATCTTAAAAAAATACAGACAAACCAGAAAACATGAATGAAAACACTGCCAGTCAGCCATCCTACTTAATAGTGCATGCTACTGGGGAAAAATCTTTGTCAAAATGTTCCCCTTTTTTGATTCAGAAGTTATTTGAATCAACGATCGGGCACCTGAAAAAACACAAAAATTGAGGTCAGGAGACCTACTTGTAGAAACTGCCTCACCTCAACAGTCGGCAAAACTTTTAGCTGCAAAGAAATTGGGAGACATTGAAGTCACAGTCACACCACATGGAAGTTTGAACTCATCATGTGGTGTGATATCTGAGTTTGATCTGATGTCTGAAGATGAATCAGATATTCAGATGAACCTTTCAGACCAGGGTATCACTGCTGTTCGACCTATCTCCATTTATCGGGATGGCAAATTAATACCAACCAAACGTTTAATTCTCACCTTTAACAAGCCGACATTGCCATCTTTTATTACAGCAGGTTATTTGTGCTGCCCTGTCCGTCTGGACATTCCAAATCCGCTGCGTTGTTTCAAATGCCAGCGGTTCGGACATTTACAGACATTCTGCCATGGCAAGAGCGTATGTGCACAGTGTGGGACTGAAGGTCACGAGAGTACCGAGTGTACCAGTACCCCATGCTGTGTTAACTGCAAAGATGCCCATCGTTCTTACTTTCGAAAATGCCCTGCATGGCAAAGAGAAAAGGAGATACAACGGGTGAAAACAGTCAACAACATACCTTACCCAGAGGCTCGTCGTATGGTCACTTCAACTGCACCTTTGAGACAGAAAACATTTGCTGCTGTTTTGAAATCCACAAAGACATGTGGGGTTCAAACAGATATTTCTGTCTCTCCTAGTGAATCTCTTACCCGCCATGCGAAATGTTTAATTCTCCCAACTACCCAAACATCAGAAAAGGAGATTAAGAAAGCCAAAACACCCCTACCAAAAACAGGGGTAATGACAAGAAACGTGGGTTCCAAGAAGGCTGCTAAGAACCCGCTCAACAAACAAAAATTAAAAGCAGCCATCTCCAAATCCAAGAGATCAGAGGCTCAGTCTATGAGTGAGTTCTCCGACTTCTCTGACGAGGAGACTAATAAGGAGGTGACACCACCAACTTCACCTCCAAAAGGCAAATCAGCCGTAAAACTAAAGAGGGATACCTTCACAAAGAATGCTGCCTCAAACACATAATGGATTATAAAATAATCCAATGGAACTGTCGTGATTTTCGCAACAACTTCTCTGACATTAAACACTTGACATCATCTACCTCATCTCTCTGCGTGGCACTCCAGGAAACCCATCTGAAACCTGGAGAGAGAATTACTTTAAAAGGATTCAATCTCTACCGCAAGGATGATGATAGCCACAACAGTGCCAGTGGCGGTGTGGCTATAGTAGTTTCAAATCACATTCCATCCTTACCGGTGCAAATAACTACTGATTTGCAATCTGTGGCAGTCAGAATTTCTGTTGGAGTGACTGTCACAGTTTGTTCTGTATACTTGCCACCAGATGTCAGAGCCAATGAGGATGAATTGGACTTATTAGTTGAACAGCTGCCAACTCCATTTCTTTTACTGGGTGATTTCAATGGCCACAATCCAATGTGGGGCAGTCCGGACATCAACCAGCAAGGCAGAGCCATTGAAAGATTCATAGGCAACCAGCAACTATATTTATTTAATACGGGAGAAGTGACATACTTCCATACTTCAACAAGAACGTTCACTGCCATTGATCTGTCATTAGCAAGCCCAAACCTGTTTTCAGCATTTACATGGGAGGTTGGATGTAATCCACTCTCTAGTTACCACTTTTCAATATTTCTAAAATACTGAGGCAGAGAAAGCTGCGAAACAGCTCGTCCACCACGCTGGAAACTGGAAACGGCAGATTGACCTGCATTTTCCTCTTTGGCTAACATCACTGAGGAAATGGTCAATACTGCTGATATCAATGATGCAGTTGAAATTGTCACTTTGTGTATTATTCAGGCAGCTGAGAAAACAATGGGAAAGTCATCAACAAGATACCCAAAGCATCCAAAACCATGGTGGAACCAGAATTGCGAGGCAGCATTTAAATGACAGAAGAAAGCATGGGGGATATTCAGAAGATACCCCAGTGCTGAAAATTTGATAGCTTTTAAAAAAGCAAAGGCAAATGCCAGAAAAATAAGAAGGCAAAGCCAAAGGGATTCTTGGAGGAAGTATGTTTCTAGCATAACATCTTCCACTAGCCCAAAAGCAGTCTGGGATAAAATCCACAAAATTAGTGTGAAATATGCTTCTCATTCTCTGTCCATGCTGGAAAATAATGGCACAATAATCAGTGATATACAGTGTATTGCTGATACATTGGGTGAAACTTTTTTCTTGTTATCCAGCAACATAATGTATTCAAGGGATTTCCAAGCTTACAAAGTGCAAAAGGAAAAGCAACATTTAAACTTTCACTCCTTATCTGATGAGGAATATAATGTGCCATTCACTAGAATTGAATTACAAACAGTGATTTCTTGCGCGGGGAATAGTGCTGTAGGTCCGGATAAAATCCACTACAGCATGATTAAAAATCTGTCAAGTAATTCCCTTTCTAATCTCCTGCATCTGTTTAACAGAATATGGACAGAAAATACTTTTCCTGACTCTTGGAGACTATCAATTATTATTCCTATTTTAAAACCTGGTAAAGACCACAAGAATCCCTCTAATTACAGACCAATCTCTCTGACAAGTTGCCTGTGTAAACTCTGAGAGGATGGTAAACAGACGTTTGATGTTTCTCCTAGAGGAAAAGAACTACTTTTCACCACATCAGAGTGGATTTCGTAGGAACAGAAGTACCACGGATAATCTAGTAAAACTTGAAACATCTATAGCGAAGCATTTGTTAGACGACAACACTTAGTGTCTGTATTCTTTGATATAGAGAAGGCCTATGATCACTGCTGGCATTACGGAGTACTTCGTTATCTACATGAATTCGGATTGCGGGGTAACTTGCCAGTTTTTATAAAAAACTTCCTGCAGAATCGAAGATTCCAAGTTAGGATGGGCAACACTCTATCTAGGTCTTTTGTCCAAGAAGTAGGTGTTCCTCAAGGATGTATTTTGAGTGTGACTTTGTTCCTAATTAAAATTAATTGCATAGCTAACTGCCTTTCTCCCAGTGTGAAACACTCTTTGTATGTGGATGACTTTCAGATCTGCTGTCAGTCTAGCAACGTGAGTTTTATCGAGAGACAACTGCAAACCTCCTTAAATCGCATAGAAAATTGGTCCAAGACCAATGGTTTCAGTTTAAAGTAGAGAAGACCTCGTGCATTCACTTTTGCCAAAGGCGTGGTTTGCACCTGGACCCCAAAATATATTTAAATGGGGTTAAAATTCCAATTGTGAATGAGGCTAAGTTTTTGGGTGTTTGTTTTGATCAAAAACTGACATTTTTGCCGCACTTGCGCAACCTGAAGAGTAGATGTTTAAAATCTCTAAACCTTTTAAAGGTATTATGCTGCTCATCCTGGGGAGCAGATAAAGTTTCAATGCTCAGGATTTATAGGGCCCTTGTCCGCTCTAAGCTGGACTATGGATGCATTGTTTATGGCTCTGCGTGAGAATCTACTCTTCGGATACTGGATCCAATCCATCACCAAGCTTTGCGTTTGTGCACTGGGGCATTTTGAACCTCCCCTGTCCAAAGTTTGTATGTGGATGCTTATGAGCCTCCACTATATCTTAGGAGAGAACAGTTGTCTCTTTTTTATTATTTAAAACAGAAATCTCATACTAAACCTCCAGTTGATTGTACAGTATCAGATACTCAGCTGAAAAGGTTATTTGAAGCTCGCCCAAGTAGTGTCCCTACATTCTTCATAAGAATGGAGAATGTAAGCAGCATGATCGACCTGAACATGAGCAACGTTTCACAGGCCGAGATTGATAGTATTTTACCCTTGTCTACTCCTGCGATAAATGTTGACTTAAGCTTAAAGCAGTTTCCTAAGGAATCCACGCCAGACTATGTTTACAGACAGAGCTTTGCAGAAATCCAACACAATGACAGGAATTTAATTCCCATTTACACTGACGTTTCTAAATCGGATGATTATGTTGGCTCAGCGTTTGTCTGCCAGGATGAAATCGTGGCAGAGCAAATTACATCGAATTCATCTATTTTTACTGCAGAGCTGCATGCTATCCACTTAGCCTTAAACTATGTAATCAGAAAAGGTCATCGTCGCTGTGTGATTTACACTGACTCAGTTAGTGCACTTCAGGCTTTGATCTCGTGTGTACCTAGTTCTCACTCTATAGTAATTAAAATTCATAAATTGTTTTGCCATCTTCTTGCAAGGAATTTTTCTATAAAATTTTGTTGGGTCCCAGGCCATGTTGGTATAAGAGGAAATGAAGAAGCAGATTCAGCAGCAAAATCAGCTAGTTCTTTCACAGCATACAATGCATATTGAAGGAGGTGATTTTAAGCTAGTCATTAAAAAACAACTAGCAGAGAGATGGCAAAATGTGTGGAACGCACAAGTCCACAGTAAACTGCATGAGATCAAACCTATGATAGAAAATTGGACACACAAGAAATTTTATAACAGGAGATCTGAAGTTATTATTACTCGTTTGAGAATTGGACATACTCGGTTGACTCATCAATACTTTTTGAAGGGTGATGAGCAGCCAGTATGCCAGTATTGCAAATGTCCTCTTACTGTAAAACACATACTGCTTGATTGCTCTGTTTTTGAGACCAGGTGTAGACAGCATTTTGGAAATGCAAGTTTTAAACAGATTCTGCATATGAGGCCCAATATTTATGATATATTAGACTTTTTTAAAGTCATTAATTTGTGTAAAGAAATTTAATTATTCATTTATTAATATATCTATTTATTTATCTTTTAGCCTTTTGTTCGTTCTTGTTTGTTATTAATATGTATATATTTGTTTTTTGTTGCTGTTGTTTATTTATTTTTGTCATATGTTTTTTATTTGTGATGTTTATAATTATTTACCATTTATTATGGTGCAGCTTAGTCTATATGGCCCTTGTGCCAAAAAACCAGTACCAACCAACCAGTTTTGTCAGAACTGTTTACTTTTAATGCCTTTGTTATAAATTATTTCCGCTTTGGTTATAAAATTGTTTTTATTATGTTTTAAATTGATTTGTTTTAAATTATACTTGTATAAAGTTTATGAACTAAAATTGCAATTACAATTTCTTTCCTTCAAGAAATATTTATTGATTATACAGGTCAAGTTTACAAAAATGTTTTCATATCTTTACATCTTTGTTATTATATATATATATATTATTAACGTTCAGACTACCGGGTTAACCCCGCCCCCTGTTTACGTTTATTGTTTAAAATGACCAAGGGCAGTATAGGTCAAACAAGGTCAGACATGTTTTATTACTTTAAAAATTCACCAAAAATCTATATATTGTTATATTCATATGACAAAAATTACGTTACATTTATTAATATCTGTAGTTATAAATCCGATATTTTTAAATACATTTAAATATAAACTTTAATAAAAAAAAAATTAAAATATTTCAGACCTGACATCTGTCTGTGAAAATTTGCAACATTTTTGTAAAATTCACATACTCCAGTTAAGTAGTTTGTTCTTGGCACTAAGCCAGAACGACTTGAAATATCGTTCTGTACAATTCGATATAACATTTATGAATGTACGATTATTAGTTTTAAAATTATCACAGATTATAATATATCCTTTGTTTGGAATCTAA